CACCACCACCACCACCACCACCTCAGCCCCCACCCGCCGGGGGCCGTGGACAAGAAGATGGTGGAGAAGTGCTGGAAGCTCATGGACAAGGTGAGAGGCCTGCGGAGGCCCGCGGGAGCCGGGTGGGCGTGGGCGGAGGGCCGCGGGGAGGGGAAGGAGCGGACGGAGGAAGCTGGGGGAGGGGACGGGTCCTCGAGGCCGGGGAGGCGAGGAGCCGGGGTGACCGGCCAAGAGGGGCCGAGGACGTGGGGGCGGGAGAGGGACCAGAAGGTGGGGGTCGCCGGCGGGGGTGGGGCTGCCGTTGGGAGTGGGGCAACGTTGAGCTGTCGCGCTGGGGGGAGCCAGACAAAGATGGGGTGGGGGCTGGGGTGAAGGTTCACTGGGAAGCCACCGGGGCGGAAGTGTAATGGGGGCTGCGGGGTTTGGGGCTCTGTGCAGGGTGTAGGGATGTGGGTCACGGAATTGGCCCGGGGAGGTGGGAGGGAGGAGAGAAGAAGAGTGCTGGTTGCCGGCTGCCGGCTGGGGCTCCCAGCTGAATCTGACGAGGGAATTCGGTTTGCGGGCTCCGATTGAGGAGTCTGGGGTCAGGACCACTCCGCGGGCAAGCTGTGTTCTGGGTGAGCGTAGGGTCTCCTCGCCTGAAAATAAAAGAATCAGGGATATTTAAATGGAGCAAGGAAGGAACTTTCCTCCACATCTAGCGCTGGCTAAGTTTTTTGTTATCCTTCGAAACATTGGATGTGATCCATTGCTGGTGCTGAGATACGCACTGATTAAACCACAAGTTCTGGTTAGAACCATTATCTTCTGAAAGATGGACTGACTGAGCCGGCTAAACAGCAGATTCTGACTCTTCACAACTTCCTCCCTGCACACACCGACTCTTTTTTTTTTTTTTTTAACGGACCAGACTCCTTATTACAGGACCTGGCTTTAAACTTGTTCGATGAGCTTTTATGATTACCTTCTTTAAAAACAAGTGCGAAAAAATACCTCCTTTATATTTAGCCACTGCTTTGTCGTTTGGGAGAATTTACTTCCTTATAGTTGTGTCTATATAATGAAATATAGTGGTTAGTCCCAAGTACTAAAGTGTTAAAGCAGTCCAAGCATTGTAGAGAGAATTCAGTACAGTGTTACCTTGATATTTTCGTATTCATTAATAACTTGCTTTAGCAAAATTCATACTGCAGATGAAAAGTGATTAGAAGGATCTGGCATGTTATAGGAGAATAGTGTTATTTCCTCCAGAGTAAAATTGGTTTTCTTTGGTTCCTCCCTGGGCCTAGGTTCCTCTTCTGTGAAGTAGTTCATGGGTTGTTTTGGACTAGAAACCACTAATAAAATGATTATGAAGCACTTGGCAAATTTAAGTGCTGTTTAAATGCTTAATAAGTCCTGTGTGTGAATTAACACTCCTGTAGTGCATACCAGTGATTTTAGAGCCACTTTTTCTTTTTTTTGAGCAGGAGTCTCAGTCTGTTGCCCAAACTTGAGTGCAGTGGTATGCTCACAGCCACCGCAGCTCAGGTGATCCTTTCGCTTCAGCCTTCCAAGCAGCTGGAACCACAGGCGTGTGCCACCACACCTGGCTAATTTTTTGATTTATTGTAGAGACAAGGTTTCACCAAGTTGCCCAGGCTGGTCTTGAACCCTTGGACTCAGGCAG